GTGGACGGCCCTGCAAGGGAGAGGAGACCAATGGGAGCGAGGGGACTGGGCAACCTGGAAGCATGAAGAGGCACCGTGGGAGGCCTTTTCAGTGCAACAGAGAGAAGGCCCACGAAAGGACTGGCTGTGCGCCGACCGGTATGAAATAGAGGAGCTGGAGGTTACAACGAGTAAGCTAGCCCAGGAATCAAGGACACAGGTCTCCATCAAAGAAGAATTAGCTCAAAAGGTGGGGGTCATACAAACTGATAAGTTTACCATCCATTGTCCAAAAAGCGTGAAGCTGTGATTACAGTAGGAACATGGGTGGGCAGAGGTAAATCCTCCCGGAAAGAGGATTCCTCGGCCATAACGGAGGAAGGCGTGAAGTGTGTTCTCGATCTAAGGGACTCTGAACCGGTTTTCCAGCTATAATAAAAGGTGGACCTTTTTTATTTAAAAAAGAAAAGAAAAGATGGAGAAGCTGGCAGGTAGGAGGAGCTAGTAGTTTCCCAAGTACTAGTAGTAGTAGGTGGTGGCTGTAGCAGCAATACTGGTAGCAGTAGTAGTAGCAATATAGTAATATCAGCAGGAGCAGCAGTGGCAGGAGCAGCCGAGTCAGTAGCAGCAGCAGTAGTAGTAGCAATATAGTAATATCAGCAGGAGCAGCAGTGGCAGGAGCAGCCGAGTCAGTAGCAGCAGTAGTAGTAGCAGGGGTCGTAGCAGGAGTGGCAGTAGCAAGAGTAGCAGTAGCAGTGGTAGCAGTTGCAGCAGTGGTAGCAGTGGTAGAAGTTGCAGCAGTAGCAGTAGCAGTAGCAGTAGGAGCAGTAGCAGTAGCAGTTGCAGTAGTAGCAATTGCAGTAGTAGCAGCAGCAGTAGCAGCAGTGGCAGCAGTAGCAGCAGTAGCAGCAGTAACACGGCAGTAGGGGTCGTAGCAGTAGTAGCAGTAGCAGCAGTAGTGGCAGTTGTGGCAGTAGTAACAGTAGCAGTAGCAGTAGCAGCAGTAGCAGCCGCAGTAGCAGCAGTAGCACAGCAGTAGGGGTCGTAGCAGCAGTGGCAGTAGGAAGATTAGAAGTAGCAGCAGTAGTAGCAGTAGCAGTAGCAGTAGCAGTAGCAGTAGCAGAGCAGTAGCAGTAACAGTAGCAGTAGCAGTAGCAGTAGCAGTTGCAGTTGCAGTAGCAGTTCAAGTAGTGGCAGTAGTAGCAGCAGTAGCAGTAGTAGCAGCGGTAGCAGCAGTAGCACAGCAGCAGGGGTCGTAGCGGTAGTAGCAGTAGCAAGAGTACCAGTAGTAGCAGTGGTAGCAGTTGTAGCAGTAGTAACAGTAGCAGTAGCAGTAGCAGTTGGAGCAGTAGCGGTAGCAGCAGTAGCAGCAGCAGTAGCAGCAGTAGCAGCAGTAGCAGCAGTAGCACAACAGTAGAGGTCGTAGCAGTAGTCGCAGTAGCAAGATTAGCAGTAGCAGCAGTAGCAGCAGTAGTAGCAGTGGTAGCAGTGGTAGCAGTAGTAACAGTAGCAGCAGTAGCAGTAGCAGTAGCAGTAGCAGTAGCAGTGGCAGTGGCAGTAGCCGTAGCAGCTGCAGTTGCAGTAGTAGCAGCAGCAGCAGCAGTAGCAGTAGCAGCAGTAGCAGCAGTAGCAGCAATAGCAGCAGTAGCAGCAGTAGCACGGCAGTAGCAGCAGTAGCACAGCAGTAGCAGCAGAGGCAGCAACAGTAGCAGTAGTAGTAGCAGTGGCAGTGGTCGTAGCAGTCACCCTGACCAAGTGTATGGAATCGTACAGCAGTGGCAGTGGTCGTAGTAGTCACCCTGACCAAGTGTATGGAATCGTACAGCAGTGGCAGTGGTCGTAGTAGTCACCCTGACCAAGTGTATGGAATCGTACCTCAAGTCCACTGAAAGCAAATGAAAGACAAATTACACACACATCCTTGATGTGTCTCGCCTGTTCACATGCCTGTTCACATGTGAAGACAGGGCATGACCGTCCTGCCAGGAATGCCCCCTGAAAGGCCCATGGAATTCCACAATCTGAACGTTGTGGAATCGCGGTCATGGGATATCTTTCTCGGCCTTTTGACTAAAAATAGATCAAGTGTAGTATCTGTTCTGATCAGCTTCATATCTGATCCTTGGTCATGGGCTTTTGGGTTGGTGGAATTGTTGAACATCATCATCCTGAAGTCTTCCAGGAATTGAACTCAAAGTGCATCACACTAAGGGCCATCCCAACCCTGGTTAGGATAGGAGTTTGCCAAACTGCTGCAGCAGTTTGCCGGTCTACCTTTTCACGGACTAGTGCCCTACACCCACCTTTGAGGAACGCTGGGCATTGCAGAACTGTGCCATAACTTTTCTTAAAAAAGAAAACTGGAATGCTTGCTGGATTTCACATTTCCAGCAACCGAAAATGAACCTGCCAACTTGCCACGAGCACCTGATCTATTTCCGGTCAGTTGTCATCTCAGCCCTTGACCCTGCCGAAGCCCATTCGTATGCCACCTAATTACTGCACACAGTCCACAGACTCCACACTGAATTTAGTCCATGGGGGTCCTCGGAGGCAGGGTTCCACTAGCCACGACATAGGATGGATGTTCTGTGTTGTGGCTAGTGCAACCTGGTGACCTGTAGGATGGATGTTACCTGTAACAGAGCCACGCAGTTCTGTTGATGTCAGACGGGCGTCTCATGCACCATCCTGAAGTCAGGAATTCTTGTTTTTTTTTTTTTTCTTTCTTTCAGTAAGGGCAAAGGCCTTGAGATATCATTATTGAACTGACCAGCCCTAGGGAATTCAGAAGTATGTTATTTTGTTAATCTGACTGCATTTGGATTCGAACTTGGGTCTGTATTCCAACAGTCCATGGGTGTACCAACTGAGCTAGGCCCGTTGGTAGGCATTCTTTTTTTTTTTTTTTTTTGAATTTGGACCATTTCTCGATTTATGCGTGTCATCCTTGCGCAGGGGCCATGCTAATCTTCTCTGTATCGTTCCAATTTTAACAGATGTCCCGAAGGACAGCATTCTAGTTTCTACTACTTTCTAGTATATTAAAGGAATAAAACAAGAGATGTTAGTACCCCGTAGCAGTTCKTWAGCACTTGTCCGAATTGTGCAAAACAATCTTAGTTGGTAGGCATTCTAGTTTCTACTACTTTCTAGTATAGCAAAGGAATAAAACAAGAGATGTTAGTACCCCGTAGCAGTTCGTTAGCACTTGTCCGAATTGTGCAAAACAATCTTCCTGCCAAACGTGATACATCCAAAATGTCTTTTCTCTTTTCTCCTTAGTGCATCTCGATGTACTTCAGAGGAACGAGAAAGATGCTCATCGGTGTGTTGGAACCTTAAGGTCACTCCTACAAATTCTCCTCGTGTGTTCGATGTCATCATTATGGACGAAAGGTCTTCGCTGTATTCTCTTATCATGGGGACTTTCTCTGGTACTCTCAAAATCTTTTCAAAAATTGAGAGTGCTTCAAACCCGCCATTAGCGGGCCTCAAAACCCACTCCACTGGTTCTGCACCATACCTCCCTGGCTGTAAGCCTCTGCACAGCTTTGGGTTAAAGGTTGGTGCGACTCGCACCAGCTTGTTGTATCCAATTGTCTGGGCAGAGGATGACAGGAGCAGTCCTCGAACCCAACACCCGGCACTGGCGGCGGCAAAAGCAGCAGCAGAAGCAGAAGCAGAAGCAGAAGCAGAAGCAGAAGCAGAAGCAAAAGCAGCAGAAGCAGCAGCAGCAGCAGCACGAGCAGCAGCAGCAGCAGCAGCAGAAGAAGAAGAAGAAGAAGAAGAGGGAGTAGAAGAAGAAGAAGAAGAGGGAGTAGAAGAAGAAGAAGAAGAGGGAGTAGAAAGAGAAAAGGGAACAGAAAGAGGAGAGGAGAGGAAGAAATAGGAAAAGGGAGGATGGTGAAGCGGGAGAAAGAAGAAGAAGAAGAAGAAGAAGAAGAAGAAGAAGAAGAAGAACACGGAGGAGAAGAGGAAGGAGATGGATTAGGGAGGAAGGAGAAGGAGAAGACGGAGGAGAAGAGGAAGAGTAGAGGAGAGGAAGAAAGAAGAAGAGGGAGGATGGAGAAGAGGGGAGGAGGGAATAACAGAAGAGTAACGAAGAGAAGAGGAAGAAGGAGAAATGCTAATGCACTACATCTTCGGCATTTTCTGATCTGTCAGCTCGTTAGATCAATTTTCGTAGGCATGGAACACTGTGTACCATGCGGTTAATAAGTCAAATAGACATGATGCAAGTTACACCTGCATCTGCGTCTTAACTGCCATCTTATTGTACTGCACAGTACAATAAGATGGCACTGAAGCTGACTGACTGCAGTGTCCTACTCTCCGTCGGAAATAAACTTTGTAGGGGAAAGTAGCAGACACAGTGGCCTATTGGACACTCTTGATTTGATTATTTTTTCAGGACCTCTGAAAAGTAAATCTTCTTTTTGTCCCTTCCGGGAACCTGCTGTGCGTCCCGATAATGCTCTAGCTTAGATTGGCTACCGTCTTCCGCCGAATAGAACACACAGTAATTATCGCTGTACCTAGACTGAAAGTTGCCCCAAATACAGCTATAATGATCGGGTGTTATATTCGGGTGAAGAGTCTGAAGACGGTAGCTTATCAAGAGCAGACATTCATCATCAGTTCTGCAATTGGTCCAGATAGAATACCAACAAGAATACAATCAGGCCTTTCAAACTTCGGTGAAGTGTGAAGAGATTTTATATGGTGGTTTGGAGGGTGAGTGTTCCTTTCTGTGTGTGTATGTGTGTGTAGGAATGAGTCTGAAAAAATATTCTGAAAAATGTACAGAGACGTGTTGTGGAAGCAGATCTTGCGTCGGCACCTATACCTCTATGAGGGGTCCAGCATCCCCATTGCACATGCACATTGTAACTTTGCGAAAATGTATGTGGTTATGAATGTGTTGGAATCATTGGAATGGCTGTGGTTTCTCTGAACTTTCTGAAGTGCATTTTGTTCTTTGTTGGTTTGTGGATCTATTGGACTTGTTATAACTTCAGGTACACGTCATTCTCGGAGATATTCCCTCTGCTTGCTGCAAGCAATTTGCCGCTCATCAAGGTTGGCGAAATTAGTCAGACCATCGATGCCTCCGGATTGACAGTTCAGAACCTGGTGACCTTCAGCAGCCCACTAGCAACGACGTCATTTGGAGCATCTGCATCTTTTGAAGTTCGCAGTCCTAAGCGTGTACAGGTAACAAACCATCGACAGCTCATACATTGGAGTTTAGAGAGTTTTCGGCAGATCGCTAAGATTCCTAAGAATATTACTCCTTTCTTTTTTACATATTGCAGATTTCCTTGGAACATGAATGTTATTCCTTAATTGTGATACAGAATGAGCAGGAAGAGAGAGAGAGAGAGAGAGAGAGAGAGAGAGAGAGAGAGAGAGAGAGAGAGAGAGAGAGAGAGAGAGAGAGAGAGAGAGAGNGAGAGAGAGAGAGAGAGAGAGAGAGAGAGAGAGAGAGAGAGAGAGAGAGAGGGAGGGAGGGAGGGAGGGAGGGAGAGAACGAGCAGCTAATGCATGATTGATAGCTGACTTGGGGCCTCGGTCCACCACTCACCGAATGTGCGAAATGAGAATGAATCTTTGCGTAGAACATGGAAAGATACGCCGCCTTACTTTTTGTCCTTTGTGCATGTGGTGAGTGGCGGAACGAGGCCCTTGGTCCGACCAAGGTGCAAGAGAGAGAGAGCCCTAGGTGAACCTGAGGCTGGATTGACTACAACGGAAGAATGGAAGAACGGAAGAACGGAAAAACGGAAGAACGGAAGAACCAAAGAACGGCAGAATGGAAGAACGGCAGAATGGAAGAACGGAAGAAGAAAGGAAAGAAAGAAGGAAAGAAGGAAAGAAGGAAAGAACAAAACAACCTAGGAACGAACGAAGGAGCGAACGAATGAACAAACGAACGAACGAACGAATGAAAGAACGAAAGAATGAAAGAAAGAAAGAACAAAAGAAAGAAAGAAAGAAAGAAAGAAAGAAAGAAAGAGAGAGCCGTAGGGGAGCTTGCATCTGGATTTACTAGAACGAAAGAATGAAGGAAAGAAAGAACGAAAGAAGGAAGGAAAGAAGGAAGGAAGGATGGAAGGAAAGAAAGAAGGAAGGAAGGAAAGATAGAAGAAAGGACGGAAGGAAAGAAGGAAGGAAGGAAGGAAAGAAGGAAGGAACGAAAGAAAGAAGGAAAGAAGGAAGGAAAGAAAGAAGGAAAGAAGGAAAGAAAGAGAGAAAGAACGAAAGCAAGAATGAAAGAAAGAACGAAAGAAAGAACAAAAGAACGAAAGGAAGAACAAAGCAAAGAACGAAAGAACGGAGGAACGAAAGAACGCAAGAGTTTTTTTAATAATACTTTTTACTTACTGATCCACGACTGTGAGTGACAATGAGACTGTGAATGATTGAAGGCTCCACTCATTTGTTAACAATGTAACCCTCAGCTTCGAAGGATATTAGTAGGTACAAGGGACTACCTTTGGGATCCAGTCCTCTTCAGAGTAGGTACAAGGGACTACAAGGCACTTTGCTCTTGGTACATGTTTTGCTTGTTAACTTGGATCCAGTCCTCTCAGACGGGCTATGTCCTGTTCAATTGCAATGGGATGTCTTTGAACTTGTGAAGTAGGGCAAAGCTTTCAAAACAAGGTCAGTTATGGGGCCATAACACTGGCAGTACCTTGTGCTCTTTGCGTTGTGGTTGTCTGACTCTGTTGGGGGAGGATTGAAGGTCCTTATCATTATTCAGAAAGCTGCACACTTTCCAGTCATTGATCAACGGACACACACAGCTCTTAATGCATCCATCAGCCCGACAGGCTTGGTTCTCATGCGAGAGCCGCTTACACGGGGAATCCGTCACCCAGTTGCTTATGCCTTTGTATCTGATGGAAAAAAAAAGTTTGATGTGTCAAAGGGAATGAATAATAGATTATTTTAGTTCATGTCTGAAAAAAAAAAAAAAAGAAAAAAAAAAGAAAAAGAAGGTAGAAGAGAGGATTGACACGCACGCAGTACTTCGTTGCTCCTTAACGTCCTCCACGTCACATGCAATGGAAAAATATTTTTGGTTGGCAACTTGGATCCAATCCACTCTTTAGATGGGGTAGTCCTGTTCGGTCCTTCACGTCATATGCAATGGCGCATCTCTGCACTTGTTGCGCTAATCTTTCAAATTAAGGCCGGCCAGTTGTGGGCACATGGCACTTCCAATACCTTGTGCTCTCTGCTTTGTGGTCGCTGGAGTGCGCTTTATAGAAGGTTGTTAGATTGGCAGACAACTGAAAAAAAAAAAAAAAAAAAAAAAAAAAAAGACAACTGAATTCAGTTTGCAACTTTGCGTCGATATGATTGTGACGGTAATGTGGTGGCGGCTACAGATCAAGTTTGAAGAGAGTTCCATCGGAACACCGCAGCTGACGGACTTCATCGATCTTCCCTCAGAAATCGCTCTTATGGGCCAAAATGTAGACTTGACCCCTCTGCGAAGCGTGATCAAGCCTGTCCAAGAAGCAGCCCAGAATGTTGCCAAATCTTTGGCGGAGCGACCCCCTCTAAAGATCCCTCTTAGGGATGGTGCAGCATCCTGGTTGATAACCACCTACCTTGACGCCGACTTGCGGATCAGCAGGGGCGACGGCAACAGCGTGTTCGTACTCATCAAGGAGGGCAGCCCGCTGTTGGATATGCTTTAAATCCGCTCTCTATGATGCCCTTCTCGTCGCTTCTTCCATCGATGGACTAGTAGTTATAAGCAGTGAATGATGACAGGTAGGTAGGTAGCTGGTGTGGTATGGGTTTGTGTGTGAGAATGTGTTATTTTACAAATACTTGTTTGGTATCTGCGACTCTGCTGGTGAATGCCGTAAAGCTGCTCTCCATGATGCCGTTCTCGTCGCTTGTTCCATTAGTTACTTCTTAGCGGCGATTCGGCGAATGATAGGTAGGTAGGCGGTGTGCTATGCGTTGCAGCGGACGAGCTGTTAGCTATGTCACTGTGGCTTTGTGTATCTGTTCTTATATGGGGTCTCAGACCACCTGTTCCGCGGCTTGGTGTACGATTGGCAGTCTAGGCATTATGTATGTATTCGATGCCGGAGACAAATGAACTGCTATAAAATAACGAAGTGGCAGATGCAAACTTTCGACGTCTTAGCTATGTGCGATACGCAGATGACTTTGTGATAGGCATTACCGGCCCTCTTCCTGACGCAATTGAGATACGTGATCTTATAT